CTTAAGTGGTAGGCAATACCTTATTTAGTAGTGAAACATTGGCTGAATTTATTTAACTGCTTTTTTACACTTTATTTATTTACGCTATTTATTTATTATACGCTTTATTTATTTAGCGTAAATAAATAAAGTGTATTTACGCCACAGCGTAAATACACTTTATTTATTTACGCTATTTATTTATTATACGCTTTATTTATTTACGCTAAATAAAGTGTAAATATTTACACTTTATTTGCGAGTAAATAAAGTGTCATGTCATAACAAGAAAGTTAAAAATTAGTTTTACATTTTATCATGTGAAAAATGTTCGTGTTTACTGAGACAGTTTCTCATACCAACGAGTTTTATATGAGAAACTTTCTGTTGGTGCTTAAACGTTGGTTAAATGTTTCTGTGAAATAGGGATTTTAGCACGGCAGCCATATTGGATGCTAAACTGGGCAAAGAGTTCAACAGCAGGCTCGTTGGTAACTACATTTCCCACAATGCCCTGCTGCGGAGTGAGGTCACGTGGGTCGTAGACACCGGTGTCAGCAGAGTTTGTTTGACAGCAGCGAACAGTGCATTTAAAGTTTCGTCGTGATTTTCTTCCTTCTCGCTGCTCCTGGACCGAACCTCAGGTCAGTTTGTTAGCAAACGGGAACCTCGAGGGTAAAGTTTTAGTTTCTGCTTCAATTTTAAATGGTGGCCTGTTTTTAAAAGAGAAATTAACTGGTTCCAATGCCGAATGGCTCCGTCTATTTGCTGGAAATCAATGACAGAGACAGCTAGAGTGACAGAAAGTTCAAGTTAATAATGTGTTTACTTTGTGGTCATTAGTGAAACTGCTGCTGATCGTCAGTGTAGCTCATTCTGAGCTGCTTCTATTCCAGTATTGCTCTACGTTAATCGCTTTTCTGCGGTTCTGCTCCAGGCGGTAGTCGGCCATGACTCCGCCGCCGCCTCTGTCCGTTGGAGGAAGAGGAAGAGGAAGGAGCTGATGATGAGGAGGGTTAGGGTGATGATGACATGCAGTTAGCTGGCTGGCTGGCGGACGGATCGGACCGGGACCCGGGCGGAGAGGCTCCAGCATGCCGCGAAGGAAGCAGTCCCACCCGCAGCCGCTCAAAGGTGAGTCTACCTGCGGCTCAGCGCCGCGCCGCGCCGCGCCGTCCGCGGAAATGCCTCCGCGCAATGAGGAAGTGTCTGCCCGGACCGGACCGGACCGCTGTTGCTCCAGACCGGAGGCTTCAACAGGGATCAGGGCTGGTCTGACTGGTTGAACTGGTCTGACTGGGCTGGAGGCTCGAACCCCCCCCCCCCCATATCTGCCACTGAGGAAGACTACTGCTCTTCCTCAGGACGCCTTATCTCATCCTCCTCTCTGCTTCCTGCCTCCACTTCCTGTCCTCCGTCTGCCCCCCTATCCTTCCTGCTCACCAGTCACACCAGTTAGACCAGTGGCGGCTCTGAATCTCAGCTTTTCAGTGGATTGACCAGTAAAGAGCCAGACCCGTTTACTGTGGTTCCGCTGGACTTGGTTCCCCTCAGCTGATCCGAGCAGCAGCATTGGTCTCTGGTCTGGGCTCCTTAACTCCAGAATTCAATCTGACCTCTGACCTCTGGGTCCTGTCTGCAGTCGGGTCTGAGGCAGCGGCGCCGTCCGACCCCAGCGGCTCGGTTCTGGAGAGTGACTTCCTGCTGGACGGGGACGGAGACGGAGGGACGGGCTGGACGGTGGGAGGTTTCCATGGCGACAGGAGCTCCTCTCTTCCTGCAGCGTTGTGTCTGGAGCCCGCAGCACCAGCAGCCTCCGCCGTGCCGTCCCTGCTGTGCTGCCAGGGCTGCGGACTGAGCCTCGGTAACAAAATCACTGTTTATGGTTTGATAGTTTCTATTCATTTTTATTTATTCTCACATTTATTTGTTTTTATTTCATTTTTTTTGTTTGTTTTTATGTGTTTTACTCTTATTTTAATTTTGTTTATACTTAAGTAAAAATATACTACAAAATATACTATATATGTAGTATATATAATTTTGTAGTTTTTTTATTTTATTTCTTTTATTTATGCGTAGTTTATATTTTCATTTATTAATTTAATTAAAATTTTGCATAGTTTATTTTAAATTATTACATTAAAAAAATTATCTTGCGTTTTAGCCATTTTAATGTGTCATTGCAATTTAGTTTAATTTTATTTTTTATTTATTTTTCTTGTGTTAAGTTTAAATTTTGAAAAAGTTTAATTTTCGTCTGACTCGCTCTGCGTTTTCCTCCAGGTGTGGGTCTGGCTCTGGGGGCGGAGCTTTACTGTCTGACCTGTGAGCAGCGGAGCTCCGCCCCCCCAGCCATCAGGAGGCGGAGGTCGGCCAGTGGGAGCAGCACCCCCTGCAGGCTGTTCTCGTGCTCGCTGTGCACCTTCACCTCACGCTACTCCAACCACCTGAAGCGTCACATGACCGTCCACGATGGCCGCAAGCCGCACCGCTGCCCCGTCTGCCCCTACGCCTCGGCGCAGCTCGTCAACCTGCAGCGCCACCTGCGCACCCACACCGGGGAGAAACCCTACGGCTGCACCCAGTGCAGCTACGCCTGCAGCTCCATGGGCAACCTGCGGAGGCACCAGCGCATGCACGCGCAGGTGGCGCCGCAGGAGGAGGAGAGGAAGCCGAGGAGGAGGATGAAAGGCAGAGAAGGTAAAGCCTAACACTTCCAGTCCTACATTTACCATCATGCAGCTGGGTGACCTGCTGCCAAGTGTTCAGGATCATGCTGGGCGATCAGAGGAAGAGGAAGTGAGAGAGTTTGAGGACGGAACCAGTAGTAAAGCTAAACTGATGGAGGGAAACGCCTCACAGCTGCATCAGCTGATGGGGGATCAGCAGGGGTCAGTGGGGTCGGCGGGGGTCAGTGGAGGACAGTGGGTGTCAGTGTGGTCAGCCTGTTCATACTGAGCTATATCTGCATCACAGAAGCTCTTAAAGGGCTGGCCGCTGCAGAATGCTTGATAAAATATTCATATCTGATTCAGAGATGAAATGTTGTTGAACATCTCGTCTCCTTCAGCTCCTCCACGATTTGTTTGATTTTCACTGATTTTTCTGGAGCTAATTTAAGAATATTTAATTTATGTCTGACATTAAATGTATCTTTTCATTAATAAGAATAATTTTATTTCTAACACCCTTTATATCTCTGATTTGAATCTCATATTGATCACTCCCCGTATTGATCAGGAAGTCTGGCTGAGCAGTAAAAATACTTTAGCTTTTCACCATATTACTGACAATTTGTAATAAACTCTCAATGATGCATTAGCATGAGAAATTGCAGACTGCAATTGCAGAATTTCATATTTTTGCATGAATTCCTGTGACAAACTGCAGGGACTGATAGATGTGATGTGGCTCTTTATGTGGGCCCCTTAAAGAGCTGAGGCTGGCCGGTTTTGGCCCCCAGCTGGTCTAGTAGAAACCGTCAGACATTTTTCTTCTCTGCCGTCATCAGAGCTGCCATTGGAGGACCACTCTTACCTGCAGACAGCAGGGAGTGCTGGTCCTGACTCTGCCCCCGGCCCTGACTCCGCCCCCGGCCCTGACTCCGCCCCCGGCCCTGGCCTCGCCCCCCTGCCGGCGCTGCTTGTCCCGCTGTGCAGCCTGACCCTGGAGGGGGGGGCAGAGGTCCAACCTGAACAGGTGAGTTCCTGTCTTAACTTCTCACTGGGGGTTTCCATGGCAACAGCAAGCAGCTGAACGCTTTGCATTGTGTGACGTTTTCTGACTGGCCCTTTAAGAGCCGGCCAGTCAGAGCAGGAACCCAGAGTTTCTTCTTCTGTGGTTTGAGGCTGCAGGATGGTAAATAAATAAACCGCATTAAGTTATAATTCAGTTCTAGTTTCTGTTTCCACTTCTAATATGGAAACATCAGGAGTGAAACATGTCAGTCACTTCCAGTTCGATTATGTTCAGTCAGAAGGAAACTTTTCAAACAGACCAGAAATTAAAACCTTTAAAACGATTCAGACCATTTCCATCGCTGATTATCAAATTAATTTCTATTCATAATGTCTTTCATAACATTATCATTTAGTTTATAACATGAAGATTTAATTTATAACATCATTTAGTTTATAACATTATAATTTAGTTTATAATATAGTTCAGATTATGACAGTTTAGTTTATATCATAGTTTAGTTTATAACATGAAGATTTAGTTTATAACTATCATTTATTTTATAACAGTTTAGTTTATAACATTATAGTTTAGTTTATAACATGAAGATTTAGTTTATAGCATAGTTTAGATAATAACATGAATATTTAGTTTATAACATAATTTAGTTCATAACATGAAGATTTAGTTTACAACATAGTTTAGTTTATTACCGTTTAGTTTATAACATAATTTAGTTTATAGCATAGCTTAGTTTATGAGATAGTCTAGTTTATAATATTATAATTTAGTTTATGACAGAGTTTAGTTTATAACATAATTTAGTTTATAGCATAGCTTAGTTTATGAGATAGTCTAGTTTATAACATTATAATTTAGTTTATTACCGTTTAGTTTATAACATAATTTAGTTTATAGCATAGCTTAGTTTATGACATAGTTTAGTTTATAACATGATAATTTAGTTTATAACATCAGAATATCTGATCAGACTCCGATGTCTCTTCTTCTCCTGGCCGGCTGATTAATTTCTGTCTCATTATGTTTGTTTGTTTCAATATCTTGTTGTACCAGATTGACCTTTGACCTGGTGATTTTGGTTCCAGGTGCGCCCAGCTGGGGCCCAGCTGCGGCCCAGGGCAGCCCCCCGGCGCCTCCTGCCGCCCCGCTGCCCCGCCCCAGAGAAACCTCACGGCTGCCCGCACTGCGCCTACGCCTCCTCCCACCTGGACAACCTGCGACGCCACCTGCGGGTTCACACGGGCGAGAAACCTTTCCGCTGCACATCCTGCAGCTACGCCTGCGGCAACCTGGCCAACCTACGGCGCCACCAGCGCATCCACTCGGGCGCCAAGCCGTTCCGCTGCGCCGTTTGCGGCCATCGCTGCAACCAAAGCATGAACCTGAAGCGCCACATGCTGCGCCACACGGGCCGCAAGCCGCACGCCTGCGCCCGCTGCGGCTACGCCACCGCCCACTGGGACAACTACAAGCGCCACCAGAGAAAGCACGCCGTCGGGGGGGGCCGGGGGCCCGGGGCCCCGGACGCCCCTAGAGGTCACCTTGTCACCTCAGTTGGCCACCTGCTGTAACTCGGAGCGGCTTCACCGCAAACACCGTAGTGCCTGGACCCAAGAGGAAGCCAGGAAGCCTCTTCCCAAGTTCCTGCCAACTTCCTGCCTTTCCCAACAATACAAACATTCTCTTAATCTGATTTTAAAAGCTGCATACTGTTCTGCACTGATTTAAATAGGCTCAGGTCAGAGGTAAACTCAGGTGTGCTGCTGCACTGACTGCTTGGAAACAGCGTTCATGTTTCTACACTGAACTTCCTCTAAATGTTGATTTTCTGAAGATGATTTCTATTTTTATGTTTAAATTCTCTGATGTATTTTGTTCCTGTGCTGCCTGACTTCCTGTCTGCTGAGGTCACTTCCTGCCAAATAGTGACCCTGGGGATCAGTTAATAAACTTTAATCATCAGACAGTGAAGAATGTTTGGAGCCACTTTCAGCTCATTTATAAATAAACTTTACAAATTTCAGTTTTATTCAATTTGAGGTTGGGAATGTTAGCATCTGCTTTGTTCTGTCAACTCCTGAATAAAAATTAAAAAACATTTTTATGGTTTTTGTCTGTTCATATAAACGTTTATTCAAAGTTAAGTTTATGATTTATTTATTTAAAATGCAAATTAATGCGATTTGATGAAAAACCACCTGGACGAAGAAATTAATTTTCACAAACACTTTTTATATCTGTGACTTTTTTGACTTGGATAATTTTTAATAAGAGTCATTAAAATTGATTTATTATAAATAAACTTTTTATTTGACTGTAAAAATCCAAATTAAATCTTAGATTTATTGTAACTTGATAAAATGGATGTTCGTATTTCCTAGAGATTCACCTTTGTGTGGTGAGGCTGGTTTCGATGGAGACGGGCCTCCATGTTTTCCATTTCAGTGACGAGAAGAATTTAATGTTAGACAAACTAAAAACGATACACTGGGTTTTCCAGCTTCAGTTCAGGTGTTTGATGTTTCTCTAGAAAATAACCACAACTTCCCGTTTCTGCTGAGGAAACACCTGGTGGCCCGCCCACCGGTCCTGGGAGGTGGCCATGTTTGCTCCTCATGGAGCAGAGATGATTCCAGGCCTGGCTGACCCGGGAGCAGCCGGAGGCAGGAGGTTCTGCCCTGAGGTTCTGCTGAGGCCGAGCCAGGCCAGCTGGGCCGGCTGGGCGTGGCGCTGCTGCAGGCGTGAAGTGAGCATGCTCAGTGGGCCGTGACATCATCACCACATGGCTGCGCTGCATGCAAAGCAGCAAGAAGGTTCCCGTTTCACTCTGAGCTACAGAATCACAGCAAGACGAGCCGCAGAACAACGCAGTCATGGGCAAGGTGAGTGACCTCTGACCTCTGCTGGTTTACTGTCATTGGGCAAGGTGAGTGACCTCTGACCTCTGCTGGTTTACTGTCATTGGGCAAGGTGAGTGACCTCTGACCTCTGCTGGTTTACTGTCAATGGACAAGGTGAGTGACCTCTGACCTCTGCTGGTTTACTGTCAATGGACAAGGTGAGTGACTTCTGACCTCTGCTGGTTTACTGTCATTGGGCAAGGTGAGTGACCTCTGACCTGCTGGTTTCCTGTGATGCTGACCGTTTCCGGATCGCTTCGAACAAACGGTGTGGATCAGTTTTCTGACTGGTTTGGTTCCTTCGTGTCTCCAGATTAACTCGCGGCCGAAGCTTTTCCCCGGAGACATTGTGGAGTATCCCAGGAACAAATACTTCTCTCATTTTGGGATCTACTTTGGGGAACGGGACGGCGTTCCCTACGTGGCTCACCTGACCTGCAGAGGTTGGCTGCTTTCAGATTCATGATTTATGTTGAAAATATTTCCGTCTGTTGGATCTGAAACATTTCCTGTTTGTTTCCTGAGACGCTGCTGATCCAATGAAGCTGAAAAATGTTTCCATCAAAGTTTCAGGAACAGATGAAATCAAAGTTTTCCGACTGAAGCTGCAGAAACAGGAAACGTTTATGAGATGGATTTCTGCCATCCTCTTCTAAACTAAAATCAATTTTAGGAAGATTTTATTGGGCAGCAGAGACCCTCTATGTTTAGATCCATGGGTTAGAACGGCCTAGTCAAAGTCTAAAACAACTCAGCATGTCAGCTGAAGCTTTTTGTAAAAAAGTTTCAGTCTTAAAGTCAGCAAAAGGTTTCCTTTTGTCAGCTCAGAACAGGTGCCTGCCACACTTTTCAGATGAATCCATGTTTGATTTTTCTGTTTCTCATTAATGGACCCGGCTGATTTACTCTGATTTTATTTGGTAACATTCGCCAGACGCCGACACAAAGATCCCGCTGTTTGGCCGCGCCTTGAGGTCAGAGGTCAAGCTGGATCCTCTAGAGCTGCTGGGGAGTAAATACAAGGTAAAGCAGAGCTGGGGCCGCGGTGCCGGGCCGTCCGCGGCCCCACACTGACCCCATTTGGGCCCACAGGTCAGCAACATGCTGGACGGGTCACACTCCCCCAGAGACTTCCATTCGGTGGTGAAGCCCGCCATCGAGGACATGCTGGGCCGAGATGTGACCTTTGACATCCTGTTCCACAACAGCGAGCACCAGGCCACACTATTCAGATACGGAGTGAAAAAGTCCCAGCAGGTGAGCTGAGGGGGCGGGGCTTAATGGCTCTGTGTCTGGCGGTGGGGCGGGGCTTCAGTGGGCGGGGCCTAACGGCTCTGTGTCTCCTGCAGATCGAGCTCGTCTATGAACACATCATGCCGTCCTGGAAGAAGCTGTTTGAGGAGAAGAAGCTGTGAGCCATGCTGCCACTAGAGGGAGCCGTCTCCTCATGTCCACCTGAAGCTGCACTTCCAACCTCGTCCTTCCACTAAACTTTCACACGCTTTAGAAATACTGCTCCTCTCCTTTTCTGTCCTTTCATGGTTCGTTGTCCGACTGAAGAACAAAAGTGAATTTTTTAAAATTTTAAATTAATCACATTGTTACAGAGAAAGTATTTTTTACTTCCATATTAACAGTCATGATGTCAGATTAGCAAAAAGATTTAGTTTCAATTTAACATTTCCAGAAATGTTTAAAAAGTTTCTGTAATTTTTTCTAGATTGTAAAATATTGAGATTTTCTGATTTCTTTAAATATTTTGCTTTACATTTTTAGAACATGTTTTTATATCTGTAAACATGCATTTTTTTCTTTTTAAAATTATTTGTAAGGTCTTGATAATGTTTCTTTAAAATGACATTTTATATTTTAAAATCTAAAATTCTCCATCTTGATTTTGAAGCTGAAATCTAAACACCATGACAAATGTGTTTGAATCATGTTGAAATGTGTTGAATCATGATCAGCAGAAAGCTTCCTGTTTACTGTACATTCTGAGCACAATAATTGATTAAAAGTCAAATTGAATCATGAAGACTTTGGTTTTTAATTGTCAAATCTTTAGTTTTTATTCATTTAAATCTCTTTGCTTCTTCTTCCGTCCATTTTCTCCTTGTTTTTCTTTAAACTTGTTTGCATCCTGTTCTCATTCCTTCCTAACACTTCCCTCCGTTGTAAAACCTGAAATGCAACTTTGGTCATGTTCCTGCGTCACAGTTTGGGCGCCAGCAGCTCGCCGCCTGCCGGTCCTCCGCCTGCCGGTCCGTGCGTCTCTCTCAGCCACGATATCAGGATGTTGTTGGTCTCTGCCGGTTTGTCCATCTGCGTCCAGTGTCCACAGTCCTCGATGTGTCCTCTGCTCAGATTGGGGACCTGCAGGGAAACACGGACCTGTGACCCCATGACCTGTCGGCTCCGCGCCGCCGCTTTCCGGACGCGTTGCTTACCAGATCCTCCATGCCGTGAGACATCGCCGGCAGCAGGACGGGGTCTTTCTCTGCCGTCACCATCAGCGCTGGCATGGCAATCTGGAAACAACATGGCGGCGTCAGGACGATCAGAAACCAAAACTCTCTCAGACCAGGAGGAGTCCGGTTCCAGAGGAATCCGGTCCGAATTTTAGATGGTTCCCGGCTCCAGCACACCTGCAGCTCATCCACCTGCTCTGATGAGGCTCCGGGTGAGCGCAGCAGGGAAACATTTGGTGGAGAAGCTGAACTATGATGCAACTCATTAGAAAAGGTTGAAAACAACTTGAAAGATAAAAATCTTGAAATGTTGCTTTCACATCACCTGGTTGGAATCTGCTTTGACTTCATGTGTAGATCAGTGTCTCTATAAGGACATAAGATCTGCTGTTTTTAAGGTCAATAAATGATCAGACTAAATAACTTAAACATAAGTTATGGTCAGCTAATGACTCGGACTATAAACTGACTTTATTTTGGGGCGCTCAGTAAGGTTTGGATCAAACCAAGTTATTGATTTAATGTCAGGAGATGAATAGTGTTAAACTTTACCCTCTGTAACTCCAAGCCTGAAAATATTCAGAACTTTGAGAAAATATAAGAGCTGAGGGTGTTGTTGTCCTTTTGGATAAATTGTGTTTATGGGATGTAAATGAATGCATTGCATGTGAATTGTTTGAGTTTTAACAGATGGGTTGCATTCAAACATTCCTGTTATCCACATCATGCAGAAAACTCTTAATTTCCTCTTCAGTGTAAGAACGTTGCACTGTTTGTGTCCAAGCTTTATTTCAGCCTGAAGGACGTTGATGTGAGCCATGAGAGACTCCAGCTGCTCCAGTCTGTCACCAACCTTCCCAGTGGGCTGTGAACACATCCACTTCCAGTTGGCCTGGTTGTTTCGGTACCAGTTCAGCGGTCCCCTGTTACACAACATGGAGGAGAAACGTCAGGCTTCAGTGGATCCAGTTAATCATCAAATCTCTGGACTCTGATTGAGCCTCACCTGAAGCCGCTCCCTCTGAACTGACCAACGTAGTAGCGCAGGTCGGCCTCAGTTAGCATTGAGCTGCGAGGAATCTGCTGTGGCAGACCCACAAACAGCCCGCCTGGGGAGACAGACCCAACCAATCAGCACAGACCCAACATGGACCAACCAATCAGCACAGACCCAACAGGAACCCAATGTTGACCTTTAACCTGTCCCTTATTAAACCAGCAGATGTCCTCACCTCGAGCGCAGACCCCCGATGTGCTAAGAGCCGGACGACCTGCCTGAGGAAACATGTCTCATCAGAGTTGATGGATCTGTCCTGACCGGACTCTGCCTGGTCTGGATCTACTCACGGCTTCACGGCTGCTGGAAAAGAAAATCTTGAATGTTCTCTCCAAGTCGTTCTCCAGCTCGGCCTCGGCTACTCCCTGGAACAAAGACAAAGTCTGAAAGCTGGAGGAAGGCACGTTCGTTCAAACACTTCATCCTGACTTTAGGTGGAGCTTAAAGTTAGTTTTCTAAAACTTTCTTAAACTGAGAAGAAAACGATCAAATTAAACAAAGCAGAGTTGGAGAGCACCAACTGTGATCTACTTTACTCTCACACAGCAAAAGGAAACAAAACAAAGTCCTTAAAGGAGTAAAATTGTCCTAAAACCAATATCAGTTTACCTAATGTCTGATCAAAAGTAAGATAGGTTTTTAAATAATTTAGAGCAGATTAAAAATAGTCCAGATTAAAACATTTAAATGCCTGTTGATGCTCAGCATTATGTTTTCACTAGTTTAACTTATATTTAACGAAGCGCAGTTCATATCAAACTACACAATCTGTATCCTAAACTATTTATTTCAATACAATTAAATCCAATTACTCTAATTTCATTTAGTTACAGCTCAACACAGATTTAGGAAATCAATGAATGCTCATCGGCAAAAGGTTGTTTTTCTGAGGATTTTGGTTTTGACACCAAAGTTCTTTACTGAATAAACTTTAAAATCATAGAGCGAAATCTTCAGCCGTTTATCCCGCTTCATTGATGAACAGCTCATATCAGATAATAAACGGGCGTTCCTCAACCAGACTATAACTCAACCTGTTAAAGTCAGAATTGCATATATTTGTTGTTTTGTGCACTGACAGCTGGAAATGTTGTTGGGAAGAACTGGTCCAGAGATCCAGCTCTGGTTCTCCCAGTGAAGAAAACACTTACTGGTTTCTGGAAGTAAATCTGGTAGTCAAAAGCGGGCAGAGCCTTTAGTTTCTCTGAAGGCGGTTTCGAAGGGTCCGGTGGGAACAGGGGAGTATTCAGAGACGCTACCGCCCTTCACGGAAATTACATATTTTACTTAAACTTTCCAAATATCGCTAAACGTCGGTAACTCAGAGTTTTTACCTGATTCTCTCTGGAAAATACCGGGCCATAGTCCAAACCAGGGCACCGCCCCAGTCGTGACCCACAAGGGTGACCTGTGGTATGGACTTGGAGGACCAGAAAGACAAGTCACTTGTGATGAAGATTTTTATTAGGGTCATTTATTTCTTACCATTTTGTCCATGAAGGAGATTAGATCCTGCAGACAGAGAAATGCATAAAACTCTCCAGATTTAATTCTGTCACATTTTAACATGTTGATGAAATTCAGACCTTGCAAAGCTTCTCCTGGGAATATTCCTCAATGTCTGCAAGGGAACATTTACCAATCATAAAACTACAAACAGTGAGGTGGAAAATGTTTCAGGGATGTATTTGTGTGTGTGCCCACCAGGGGGTGCTGTGGATTCGCCGTATCCCTTCATGTCCAGAGCCAGGACCCTGAACCCGGCGGCAGCCAGAGCGGGAATCTGCCAGAGAGGAAGCAGGTGTGAAAACACGACACATCACCGCCGCTGCCTTAATGGGAGGCTCACCTGGTACCGCCAGGAGTACCAGCTCTCTGGGAAGCCGTGGCACAGCAGAACCGGCGGCCCGGAGCCCATCTCCACGTAGTGGGTCCGAACACCAGGCTGAAATCACAGCACTAATTATTCTGTCTCTATAGGCTTGATCATTGGCTGGCAGAGGAGGGTCATTACTCTGATGGTGACGTGTCCATGAGACACCTGGTCAGGGCTGCAGGCGATGGGAGGACTCTCTGCGCCAACAGCCTGCAACAAACAATGTTTCAGCTGACGTCACAAAGATTCAGGTTCTTCCTGTTAAGGATCAGTTCAATATGAACATGTTGAAAGTTTCGCATCGTCTCATTACGGCCATAAATGGTTTATATGAACAGTGGTACAAATTCATTGAGTTTGAATTTTCTTAAATTGGAGTCATTTCTAAACGATGCATATTATTCAGACATGTCTTCACTTCTTCAGAGCAGAAGAGCCACAGAAAGACGCATCAGTGCTTTTCCTTTGGCCACGCCCCCCA